GGAGTCTAATGAGGCAAGTGTGGTGTGGCATGGTGGTGTGGCATGGTGGGTGCAATGATTGGGTGGCTACCTAATTGACGGCAGTTGCACATGGGAAAATATATCTACATACATACATATATGTTTCTGCCACCTAATGAGATTGCCTCTTCGATTTGTACTTTTTTTTTTTCTTCACCTCACTTCCTTCTCTATAATTTGGTAGCTCCTCCTTTCCCTTTTCAACCTTTTGATAGATGGCCAAAAAGTTCAGACTGATGGCTCTGGCATTAGCACTAAGCTTTAGCCTGGGCCAAGCACTTTGATTTGACTTTGGGCCCCGAAAATGGAAAAAGAAAAAATTTGCCGAAACGAAAACCAGAGCGAATAAAAAAAAGAAAAACTTCTAAACTGCAGTCAGAGAAATTTTTGATGTAGGTTTTTTTTTGGGACCAAGAAGGAAACCTGTGTGAGAAATGGGGTTACAGGAGCGGCTTGAAGGCTCAAAGGGTTGATTTTTTATTCGGAAATTCAGCAGGAGATGAAATTTAAGCTTTAAAAAGGCAGAATTTTGTGTAATTAAAAATATTTACATAGTTTTTCATTAAAGTTCGAGTTTTTTTAGGCTCTTTTCCTTATCATATTTCTGACTAAAAAAATTAATTATAAAAACTCAGCTTATAATATTTTGTAATTATTTATTTTTCTTTTGAATAAAATCATAATTTTTAGTTCTAAGCATCAGGAATCTCAGAAAAGTGGGTTTGAAGACTCAAAGGGTTACTTTTTTGGAATTACAGTAGGGTTTAAGTCTTTAAAAGTATGTATATTTTTATTATAATTCTTAAGTTTTAACACATTTAAAGCTTTCTGTGTCGGCTTTCCCTATAAACTCGTTATTTTTGACACAATTCTTAATTTAAAAAAAATGTATTTTCGATTATTTGACATTTATTTGTTTTAAACTTGAATAAAATCATATAATTATTAGTTCTTAGCTTCTGAAATGTCTTTAAAAATTTTAAGTAAATTATATATTGCTCCAATTTTTTTTTTTTAAATGCCACCTTTTGTCCTAGACTTCCACCCTGTTTTCCCTTCAGTTTAAACCCAAGTTCTGCTAGGGGCAATCTATAAATAAAAGGCATCTCTTTTGACACTAAACTGACTTGTAAACCGAAATATTTACGTCGACTTGTTTTTGCTGCGTATGCCAAATGACAGACGGCGGAACCCTCCCAAGACGAACCCCCTCCAAAAAACAGAGGGTTCCAAAGGAAAAAAAGAAAAACCATAGGAAAAAAAGGAAACCCCGACCCCAAATGGGCCTCTAAACTTTCCTTAACCGAAAGGAAACAACGTGAACAAAAAAATTCAATTGAAAGTTTGCCTCTTGGATTGGCGGTGTCTGCAAAACTCTCCTTGGTTCCCACTTCAACTCATCCGTTACTTTGTAACAAATCCCACAGGCAAAATTGATAAAAATAAAGGGGGAAGAGATACTATATATATATATATATATGTATGTGGAATGTGGCTTGTAGCTCTATATATGTGCCACAGGGTTCGGAGAAAGTAAAAGCAAAGAAAAGTTTTTAATATTTGACGTGTTTTTCTTTTTTTTTTGCAAAACTTTTCTAGGTTTTCGTTTTCCGTTTCGCATTGAAAAACGAAGAAAAAATGTATTGAAAAGGGTTTAGTTGGGGCTTGAACTTCTCTCTGTAGGTTAGGCCACAGACATGTGTGTATCCATCAGATACAATATTCTCCCTGAATTTCCACTCCCATTCCTGTATCCCAAAGTTACACATCAAAGGCTGACTGGCTTGCTAATGATTGATTGTAAAATTCGCTAATTTAAGCAATGCGAATTTATGTTTCGGCAGTTCGAAGGGGGGGACCTCCCATCAATTTTATTGCGCATTTAATTGATCATAAAAATTATTCATTCATCAGGAGGCTCCAGCGAACTCGTTTTCAGCAAAAAAAAAATACTGCTCATTGAGTCAAATAAAAAAAAAGCAAGCCGCAGCATGAGCACAGTCCAGCGATTTCAAAGATGAGATATATACGACTGCCATATAGATAGATATATCTTTAAGATATGCATGGGAAGTAGTAGGAGATATCGTCGCATAAATACCAAAGGCGGTGGAAGAGGGAGAGCTCTTTTTCTCTGTTTAAAATTAATTCAAATGGAGCAATCGTGGGATGAGTGTAGTGTAGTGTGTGTGATGTGTGTGTGGTGCGAGGTTGGTGTGATGAGTTTGTTTAGAATCTTAAAAAGTGTGGAAATTATCAGGGGTTAATTAGATATTTTTTTAAAGGGAGTTTATTTAAAAAGTAAAAATAAACTGAATCTAAGAAAATCGATTATTTTTATTGTTATTTTATTTAAAAAGTATACCTAAAATAAATCTAGAAAAAGCTGATTTCATTTATTTGAAGGTATTTACCTTATTTGTAATAGAACTTTGATTAAGTAAACAAATTATTAAATGAGAACGGAAATAATCATAAGAAAAATGCGAAATTTAGATAATATTTATTATTTAATATAGCTATGTAAAATTATAAGCAGTTTTCTAATATATACTATTTTTAATAGCTTCAAGCCTTTAACAATTTTAGAATTAAACTGAGTAGTAAGCATAAATTAAATGATTGCTAATGGTCTTTTAGAAAAGGGAAAGTTAAAGTTAAAGTCTAAGCAAAATACTTTGCTCTTAATAAAAATATTTGTTATTTTACCTAATTAAAATTAGCTTTTAATAAAAAATATGTTCTTTAAGGAATACCAAGATATATTTATTGACCTCTAAGTTTAATACTTTTAATAAAATATTTATTAGCAGTTTTAGAATCAACAATATTTACCTTTTTCTTTTTGTTTCTTAATAATAACTTATATACAAGAAATTGAATTTAAGCTGCAAAATAGTTAAATAAAAATATAATTTATAAGATTTTTGAAAGCCAAGCTCTATCCATGAGTTTTTACCATTTTTAAACCTCAATCTTTCTTGCATCCGTCATGGTTTTAATGTTTATCTTGCGGATTTTTTTACGTACGTAATAGAACACCGCTCTGACATAAACAAAACCAAAAGCAATAAAAACCCAATAGTGCTGTGAAAATGTAGAAAAGGCAAAAATAAAATACGGCTGCTGGCATTGGAATTTGCAGTTCGTATCAAGAATCCATATCAAATGTCAAGGCGAGATAGTTTATGGCTTATCAGCGGCAGACGAAAAAAATAACAATAATAATTCGGCTTCAGCTGTGGGAATATTAATAAAAAACTCAGATTTGGTTTGTTTTATCAATTTTTTGTCATTTATATATTTTTGTGTTTCAGTTTTTTCTCTTCGCATGTTTTTGTTTCTTGTTGCTATAAACTAGAAAACATAAGGTTATAAAATAAAATACATATTCATAAATGTGTCCGAATAGTTACAGTATTTACAACAAAAGCGGGGGGCGAGTAAATCTTAATAAAAAAATGTTATGCATATATTTATATATAGTACACATGTAATCAGTCGATATATGTTTACAATTTTTGCTTGATTCGTGTTGCATTTTAATTTTGCGTATTTAAATGTATACAGTCCATTTGTTTTTATTTACAATATTTGAATAATTTTTCATAGAATTAATATGGCTGTATGTGGTAGGCGGGGCTGTTATGGATTCGGATTCAATTTATTAACTTATTTAATACAACTAACTAATGAGGATAAGCTTAGATCTAGACATAGGTTGGTAGGAAATTGGTAATTTGTCTTAATAAATTAATTAGCGCTTAATGCTAAAAACAAAATATCACAATGATTAAACAGATTAACGTATGATTAACATTTAACTTATTTACATGTAACTCTTGCAGTAAGAGAGTTTGTTTTTCTTTATTTTGTTAACTAGTTTTCTGGTTTCTTGCTTTTGGAATGCATTTTTTAAATTGGCAAGACAGAGGAGTTGGAAATGGAGTTGGAGTTGGAAAATAGAAAATTGCTAAAGAGAGGGCGTAACACACAACCTTGTAGATTTTAATCGCCAAAAAAGACCAAACTAATCTGTACGTCTCTGTGTTCTATGTTCTGTTGTTGTTTTGCTTTCCTCCTTTTCTGGCCTTGTCGATTTTGGCCAAAACACAATTTTTGGGGGCCAAAAAAAAGAGCAACAAACACACACGTGCTGATCTCTCTCCTACGCCTTTCCTTTGTTATTCAGGGAACTTTCTCGTTTTCATGTTTGCTGCAGCAAGGTCAGCATCGCTTTTCCATTCTGGGAAATTCTGACTACCTTCCTCCTAATCTCTGACTAGCTGGAAAATAAAAGAAAGCCTGGTTTTTCCTCAATCTAGACATGGCGTGATCTTGGTTTTATATTTTTCGCAACATCTTTCTTTATCTTTTCAAATTAACTGGCATTAATTGCTGGCTATACGTTGGTTTTATCAAAAGTCAAATCCTCTTAACAATTGTTTTCTCATGTTGGGAAATGTTTCCATCTATTTTCCTTTTTCCCCCCATTGATTAGCACATGTAATTGTGGCTCAAAGGGAGGAAAAAAGCAGATAACAAAAGAAGAGGAAGAAAACCTAAAACAAAACCAATTTTAAACCATGTCTGTAGACGGTCTGGGTTCTAACGTCTAAGGTCTGCTTTTTGTTACAATTTTTCCTTTGGCCAGACATGAGCTCTGTGATGTTTTGCGTTGCCTATTTTTCGTTAGCCTTACAGTCACAGTCGCAGTCACAGATACAGATACAGATACAGCTGCAGCTACAGCTACAGCTGCTGCAGATACAGATACACGGGGTGTATCTTCTACACACGTCGGGCTTGTTATAGCAAAATGCAGCAGTTAAGATGAACTAACGACTGAACGTTGCAAACAGGGAAAACGAGGGAAAAACAAAAACTGGAAAACGACAAAATAAAAAGGAGAAAAACAAAAAAAAAAAAAACGAAGGAGGAACGTAACGAAAAAAAAAAAAAAATAAAACCAAAGGAAATACTTTTGGGCCTGCGCTGCCTTTTGTTGCTGACTGACTGGTTGGTGTTTGTCTCTACACAGAAATAAATCTATGAAATATATCCATCTTTTGCAAGTCATAAGATTGTCAGAATATTAATTAAGAAATGTTCTTTAAAGACTCTTAAGATAGGTATCACTTTTGAACTAAAAAAATACTTCATGAGTAGTTTGAAATATCTCAAAGTTTCTCTGTCTGTAGACGCTGCTCGTTGTGTGTTGCATGCAACATCAATTTTCTGAATCTAGCTGCGAGCCAGGAAACTGAAAATAGCTGGCCGTAAGAAAACAGAACAGGGCCAACAACAAAACAACAATTGGCCTGGCTCGCTAGCTATTTTACTGTTGTCTTTTGTTGTTGTTGGCGTAGTTGTTGGTGTATTTGTTGGTGTAGTTGTTGGTAGTTCTTGGTTGCTGCTACCCAGTTCTTTCCCCACTCGATTTTTCTTTTACTTTTGCTATTTTAACATGTAACTAGGCTTTTATCGCTAAACGCTTGCATTTGCATATTGAATGCAATTCCCCTTTTTCTTTTTTTTTTAAGTTTTTTGTTGAAACAAGAGGAAGTTAAACTTGTTTTCCACTTTTTTTGAGGCTAGCAAATGGTCTGCAGATATTCTAGATCAGCTTTCATAACTCAACAAGATCGTTTGTGCTCCTTTTTAGCATCATAAAAATGAATTTGGCTTTGGTTAATAAACAAAAATTTAATTTAAATGGATTTTCCAATCATTCCCAACTCTCCTGACCTTGCCTTTAACCCTTTTTCTTGACCTCTACTTAAACCTAAAACCCCACTCACATGTGCAGATTTCTAGATGCCGGCGTTGGTTGTGTTGGAGGCAGGGGCAAACTCTGCTGTTGGATGCCACCTGCCAGGGGTATCATTTGGGGTACCGAGGGATGGCCTCCACCACCCACCGAACCGCCACCCATCAGCAAGGCCGCCTGCTGTTGCGTAGTGTTGTTATTTCCGCGAAGTTGCTGCTGCTGCTGCTGCTGCTGCTGTTGCTGCTGTTGTTGCTGCTGCTGATGCACCGATGGCTGCCGACGGAAGCTGCCCGGCTGTTGGGGCGGCGGTGGCAACATGAACTGCTGCTGATGATGATGCACCTGGTGGGGAAGTGGCATCGCCTGCTGGTGGACATGATGGTGATGGTGGTATGCCGCATGGTTGATCGGCACATGGCAACTTTGGCCTACGGCACCATTGCCAGAGCGTTGCGATGATGATACATCCGGCAGGGCAAAGCGCAGTTTCTGCCAGAAGAGCTTGTCGCCCCATTGGAGATATGTGTTGGTCTTTAGATACAGGCGTAGATCCGGATCCAGTTCCTTTTGCGGCACTTCACCCAGGACAATGACTATCAAACGGCGACGACGATCCCGGAGGACTGATTGGTGAGCTGATTTGAACTCGAAGCGGCACCATTCCGACTTGATGAAGTTCTCACTGACCACCATGATGGTGCGACGACTGCTATCGATGGCCTGGACAATGGTTTCCGGCAGATAGCCACCGACGGGAAAGTCCCGCTGATGCAGGCACAACTTGTAACGCTGTGCACCCATCTCCAGCATTGGAGCCAGTTCCTCATTGACAAACAGCTCATCCTTGGAGGAGTACGAAACGAAGGCATCGAAGAGCTTCTCCCGCTCATTCTTGTCCACATCCTTTTGGGCATTGTAGAAGAGTCGCACACCAAATCGAGAGTGACACCAAACACGCATCTCCTGGCGGAAAATGAACACCAGCAAAGTGCAGATCATCACGAATATAAAGGCCGTTAGGATGGCCACCAGGATGGGAATGTAATCCTGCTTTGGCGGTTGATTCAATATCATTTTCGTTGAAGTGGCATTCGAGGCATTCTCCCCACCAGCTTGCTCCGCAAAATCATAGTTATTGTCCAAGCCCAGAGGCAACGTTTGGCTGCACTGCACCACGGGCAGGGAGGTGGCTTCGGCAGACTGGGGATACACCACCATTTGTTGCGTATTATTACCACTAATCGATTCGCACTTCATCTTTAGCTTGTCCTGGACATACTCATGCCGATTCATGTAATCCCTCAGTTTGTCCATGAACTCACAGTGGCAGCTCCAAGGATTTCCCGCCAATCGAAGTTCGTTGAGGTAACTGGGCAGGAAATTCCAAACAGCAAATGAAGTGATGGAATTGTGATCCAATCGCAATATCTTTAGGTGATACAGGTGCGTGAAGGTAAGAGTATCAATGCTAGCAATTGCATTATGCTGCAAATACAGTTCTTGAAGATTATCCAGGCCCTGGAACTCGTTGCCATTGAGAGCCTTCAGCTGGTTACTTTGCAGCTGGAGAACTTCTAGTTCCAGGAGACCGTAAAAAGTGCGATTGTGCAGAACCTCAATCCGTGAATGATTCAAATGCAAAACCTTTAGTCGCTTGCGTCCAATGAAAGCATGACTCTGCAGCTCCCGGAAGTTATTCCCGTCCAAATACAACTGCGTGGCATCCATGGGTATGTGAGAGGGCAGAGCCTGCTCATAGGTGGCCCGGCTGCAATCAACCACATTCGAAGTCCAGGATTGATCATGGTAGCAGGAGCATCTATCCGGACACTCCATTTTACAGTCACAGGCCTGGAAGTCACAGCAGTGGCACAAGGCAAAGCAATGCGAGGCATATTTGCAGAGGAAGTCATCCGAACGCGCTTCGATCAGGGAGACATGCGAGGAGCCACGGGCATAGGCCAACCGGCAATGAATCTGGTCCAAATCCATCAACTGAGGCTGAGTGCGCGATTCCCGATTGACCTTTTGCAACCAATCCAGATTGCAATCGCATTCGTAGGCATTGTGACCGATATAAAACTCGGGGATCTCCCGATCCTCGGCTATGGGTGACAATCGCAAAGCATTCGGCTCCAAAGTGGTGAGACTATTCCTCACCAGATCCACTCTCGTCAAATTGGGTTTCTTGAAGAAGGTGTAGGGTTGGATCTTGGATATTTGATTGTCATTCAGATAGAGTACTTCCACGCTGTTTGGTATAGAGCTGGCTGTGATCTCTGTCAACATGTTGTAACTGGCATCAAAGGTACTCAGACTGAGTTCGCTTTCAATCTCAAAGTAGTTTCCCAGCTGGGCGATCCTATTGGCCCGCACATCCAACCATTGCAGACCGATGGGTATGTGCGAGTAATCGAACTTTTCCAAACGATTTCCCGAAATATTCAACCACACCAAGTTGGGTAGCTCTGTAAAGAGTCCAGCAATAGATTTGAGTTGATTTCCATCCAAACGGATAGCCTGCAGCTGGCTATTCCTCTGAAGGGAACCCGCCTCAATGGATTTAAGTTTATTTCCCGACAGGTTGAGAATCTGCAGGGAGCTCATCCGATCAAAAACTCCTCGCCGGATTTGTGTTAGCGAGTTCTCTGTCATCCGAAGACCATAAAGATTCTCCAACTGTGTGATGCTTGTATCCTCAATCTGGCTAATCATATTCTCGCCCACATCCAAGGTCTTGAGCAGGGGAACATGTGCCAAAGCTTCAGGAACTGTCTTCAACTTGTTGTCATTCAAATGGAGATCCTGAAGACGACTGCAGTTCATCAGGGATTTATTATCCAGCCTGGATATCCTGTTAAAGTCCAGGGAGAGCACCATAAGATTGTTTAAACCCTGCAAAGTGTTCTGTTCGATGGTTGAGATGCGATTCCGGGACAGGATCAGTGTATGCAGATTGGTTAAATCCCCAAAGATTCCCGTCGGCAGCTGATCAATGTAGTTGCCCTCCAGTTTAAGGATTTGCAGACTGGTCAGAGGCCGGAAGATGTGCGCCTCCAGGCGACTGATTTTGTTTGAAGACAGATCAAGCATCATGAGACGCTTAAGACCCACAAATGTGGCTGCATTAACCCACTGAGAGTTGAGTTCATTGCTAGCCAAGTCCAGTATTAGCAACTCCGCCAGATCACTGAAGATGCCCGGAGCCAGGACATTGATGGAATTATTTCGCAGATAAATCTCCTGCAGTTGCTTGGTTTCCGCAAAGAGTTCCGGTGGCAACGAGGACAAACGATTCGCTGACAAATCCACAACTTTCAGGGATAACAGACCCTCAAAAGCACGATCCGCCAAGAAGCTCATGCTATTCTTGGCCATATTCAAATGGGTCAAGCGTCCCAAGGCAGACAACATGGCCGTTGGCAAACTGACCATTTTATTTGCACTCAAATCCAAACTTTGCAGTGTGGAGCCACAAACCCGAGCCTTCCTAGAGCTCAGCGAGGCACTAAAGTAAAAGTTGCTTATATCCTGGATTTTGTTGTAGGAGGCATTGAGATGCTGCAGTGATTTCAGTGGACAGACCATGCCATCCGGTATCAGCCAAATGTTGTTTAGACTGAGATCCAATCGCTCCAACTGCCGGAACTCCACAAAACTGTTGGAGGCCATCTCCAGTGACATGGTGGACCAGTCACCATTATGCGTGCGAATGGTGAGATTCCTCAGTTCGTGGAGACCACGAAAGGAACCATCGGTGAGGTTGCCCAGCTTGCAGTATTCGATGGTAAGATCCCGGAGCTCCACCAGGGACCGGAAACTGTCCGGACTTAGGCTACTTTGGAAGAACAATGCATCGTTGCACTCCAGACGCAATCGCACCGTATTGTGCGGTTGAATCACACTAAAGTTGGTGTTCTCCAGTTCCGAATTGATGGTCCTTAGGTGGCACACCAAGGTGATGTCGTGCTCCCCACCGCCGGACCAGCGGCATTCATCGGGAGCTTGGTACAACACCGTTTTGCTCAGGGCCGCTCCAAAGATGGGCATCACCCAGGTGGCTATGAGGACATAGAGCATGTGACTGGTGGCCAGCATCTTGGATGAGATGTGGATTTGTTATTAGCTTCTTGCGGGGATTTTGGGCAAGGGATCGATCTCTCTATTCGATCTCACATTCACACACTCTCACACTTCCCTTTTTTCTCCCGTCTCTATTTCTCGCCCATTTTTTTGTTTGTATGGTTTTTGCGTTTTTATTTTTTGGATTTGTTGTTTTGGTTTTCAAATTAAATTAAAAATCACTTTTCACACATCACCACATATCAGATTTTGTAATGCTTAATGACTTTTATCTTATACGATTTTCTTGTTTTTCCCGCTGGTGCTATTAATTTCTTTCGTGCTTTTGATTTTCCGCTTTTATGTTTAAATTTTCATTTTGATTTCTCGTTGGCTTTCTCAATATCTTTTTTAGTTTCGCGTTGACCGTAATCCAAGTGGGGGGTAGCGATAGCGCGTTTGATAAATTTCTGTGTTCTAAATTTTCTCGAGGCGATACTTCTGCTGCTTCTTTTTTTTCTTAATTTATTTCTCTTTTGGGTCCGCTCAACGACAGACTCGCGTCCGCTCGGCTCGAAGTCAATTTTAAAACTGATCGTTCTCCGAGACACTCAGTCAGCAGCAAGTGCCGCACTCAATCGAGTAGGTGGCCGTTGCAAGAGTGAGTGAGTATGGGTGCACTGGGAGAAATACACTCACAATGGAGTCAGAGAAAATAATATAAATTTTAGGAACCAAAGATTTTTAATTTGGGAGGTTTTTAAGCTTAAAAAATGTAAATTTTTCATAAAAACTAATATTAAAAACCGAATTTTAATAGTTAAAGCATTTTATTTGAATAAAACTCTGCTTATAAAACCAAAGCTATTTATTTAAAACGTTTTTTAAGCCAAAAAGATGTTTCTTTTATGTAAAAACAATTTTAATTGTTAAAGAATATTATTTAAATACGAATCTGTTTATAGAAATTTTAAAAGAATTTAAAAGGCAACTTTTAGTGTTTCTTATGTTTATTTAACATTAAAAGGTTAGTTTACATTTCCTGATCATTTTATTCATGTGTTTTCATATATTAATTGTTTAAAAATGGGGTAAATACATTAATACTTAGTTTTAAAAATTTCTAAAAACTTTCTTCTTTATAATTACACTCAGTACACATATGTATAATTTATACATTATATTTGTAATGGAACGTCTTAAAATTTAATAAAATTAACAAATCGTTTGATACATCCATTTATTATACATATTTAATATATTCTTCAATGCAAATACCATTTGACATTGATTTCCAAGCATATAAATTAATGATAAACATTAACAAAATAATTTTAATAAAATACTGCAAGTACCCCCTATTTTTCTCCCAGTGCAACTGAGAGCAACTGAGTGAAAACCTATTCGGCGAGCGAGCACCCATTGAGCACGCACACAGAACCCCGAGAACTAGAGCGAGAGATCGATGAGGCAAAGAGGATAAGTAAACAAAGCTATGCAATGCAAACGCAAAACGCAAACGCAACGCACGATAAATGGCCCACAGTGCACAGTGGGTTGCATAGCAATGGCAGGTAGAATTGGAAACGAATGACAGATGCGAAATAAGGAAATGAGATCGCGGGAGATGGTTAGGCAGGTGATTTTGTCTCACAGAAAACATGTGTAATGTTTCATGTTCTTTCGGAATCTGCAACATTTTCTTTTTGAGGGTCAAGGCAGAAATTAGTAAGATGATATGGTTCAAGATTTAGATCAAAGATTTGCCGTGAACTGATAAAAAGAGTTTTTCCCAAGGGAAGCAGGAAGATGGTTTGTGTAATGTTGGGAGAGCAAGTGGAATGCAATAATCTTTAAAACGGAAATATTATGGAAATTACACATACTTTCTGAACATTTTAAGTAAAGCTAAGAGTGATGTTTATAATAAACAAATAATTTTTATAAAAAAAAATAATTTGCGGATACTTAATATATCATAATATCACGTATACGCCCGGTACTTTGTATAAATTATATTCAATGACAAATTCAGTTTCTATTATTTCTAAGGGGCTAAAAATAACCCATTGAGGATCTGTACAAGCTATAACAGTTTCCTATATGACTTCCGGTTGTAAATTTCTAAATACAAATCGAATTAACCAACAGAACCCATGACTTGTCACGCCAAAGAGCCTTGATTTGTGTTAACAAAAACCCAGCAAGTCCACCCAATAGATCCTCACCCACAGCACCTTGGCACCTTGCTGCTTTCCATGTGCCCACTGTGCGGCACCGTGGGCCTTGCCACCCCGTTGCCCTTGCCACCGCCTGTCGGTTCCGCTGAGCGTCAAAGCCGAGCAAACAATTCCAATGAGACATTGACACTCGTCACACCGGTTAGACGAGTTTTCCCTTGGCTCTTAGCTCTTTCACTCAGCTGAATACTCTCGAAAAATTGAGTGATTTTTTCGTATTCAGCAAATGAGTGTATTTTTAGAGAGCGGATTTATTTGCTGAATAAGTCGGAATTGAGTGCAAGTGGCTGATCTTTGCGGCTTTTCTTTGGTTCGCCACAAAAACTGAACAGTAAGAGAAAAAAAAACTGCGGGGAATAATCATAAAAAATTATTGAAATCAATTGTTAATTCAGCCAATGTCAGTTTGATATAGGCACACACTCATACACTCACACACACTCAAAGTCGAGCTTGAATCGACAAAAAATTGACTGATTTTTCTTGATTTATGAGAGCAGCTTGAAGTTGTTGCTATTTCCACTTCTTTCGGACCGGCTGGCAATCGAGATTTCTTGAGGAGATCGTCGGTTTGAGTTTGGGGCTTACTCATTACGACAAGGTGGCCATAAGGCAGCTCAGCCACAGATGGAGACTAAATCTTATATTTTTTTCGCATGATCTCTGGCTGTGGCATATGTTGTAACCGCACTTTCAAACTTTCCCAAAATTGCTGAAAGCGAGCGAAAATGAAATGCTGATTACAGCTATAAAGGTATATAGACCAGAACTTGAACAGTTAAGGTGGGAATAATAAGAATAAATAGAACATGAATTAATTAAGAAAGTGATGGTAATTAAAACAAATAAATATGATATATATCTTAAGACTTAAATGTTATACTAAGGAATACCTATCTTTCTTTGGCATTATACTCCCCACTTAAACCTGACAAAATACATCCCCCATCTAGAGTTAAACCCTTGATTTGTTTGCACTATTATTTCGATCGCAACTGTGTGTATATAGCCACAGCCATACTTTGGCCAGTTGTAGTTGTACCTGTCGACGCCCGTTGAGTCCGACAGGTGCTGATTAACCAAACACATCCCAGGCGATGCGTATCAGTCAGCCAGTTAGCCAAGCAGCTTGTTTGGGCCACGTTTTGGGAATGGGATGTGAGAGATCTTTTCCCTTTTCCCTGGAAAACCCGCACCCAAAGCCTCCGTCTGAGTAAACTGCAGGTAGCCTACAAATTGTGTTGAAAGTTGACCGTGCAAACATCGTCTCCTCCACTCCTCTGGATTGGAATTGGAATTGGAATCGGGATCGGTATATCTTTGAGCTCATCCTTGGTCCTCAGGTAAAAACAGCAGCTCGGGAACAGATTGGTTTTTGCCCAAGGAGAAGGAGCGATATCTTTGGCTAGGATTTTGTTACAATCCTCGCTCAATTGTTTGTTCCTGCCTTGTACCTTTCTTTTCAGTTTATTTTTATTTCTTTCTCTCCGTCCCTGCTCTTATGATTTTCTTTATCGCTTCAGATCGATCGATCAGGCCAGTTGGTGTAAGCCAGGAAGTGCCTGGGTATAGAAAGAATTGGCTTAGTCGTTCAAATTGCACAATATGTTCATGTTCTGCTGGGGGAAAATGCACTTGAAAATATATTTTGGGACTTCTTTTCGGAGATGTTAAGATTGAGAGATGATAGATTTGATAGATATTTAAATATTTATCATAGCTTTTTAAGATTTACTTGAATTTTATTAACTGGTGATAGGGATATATATCAGATTTGATTGATATTTCCATATTTTTAATTATATTCTTACATTTAATGGCATAAAATTAGTTTTCCTTATTGTTAAATATTTTCACAGTAATTTTGAAATCCTATCGTTTTATGTCTTCCGATTTTTTCAGAATTTATAAAAAGTAGCATCTTCTAGATACTGAATAATTTCAACTATTCCTATTCATTTCTTAAATTATTATTTATTAAACCATATTCAATCTTAAAATTCTTCTTTAATTTAAAATAGAAATGCTCCCTCCTTATCTATTTATTTATATATATATTTTTTTATATATAATATTTCTCCTAGTGTATCTGTCCTTGTACCTTCTAGGATCCGTAACCGTATATGAGGGGCGGTCCTGCCTTCATTGATTTGATTTGATTTGATTAGATTAGTTGAGTGCCTGTGCCTGTGAGCAGAGTTGGGAATAACATTTCCCTACGATGACTGATCGTTGTCGATTCTCTTTCATTTCAATTTTTCATTTTCATTTGCGCAAATTATTTTTCTTTTGTAATCGTTTCGCTTGTCTTGGGTTGCCAAAGACGTGTGTATGGCTTTGGGTATCTGTATCTTGTGGGTGCTAGGCGCTTATGCGAGGCATTGCTCATTGGGTCACAGTCACATGAGTCACGGGCAATGATTCTTTTGTAGATATATTCGTACTGTAATATTTTTTATTTTTTCTACTTTTGCGCCAGCTGCTGCCGGTTGCGAAAATGTTGTCTGTTTTGTAGTCTTGTAATTGGAATTGCTTTTTTCTTTATTATTTGTACGGAGACAATGACCGCTGGGAGAGACGCCCCCGGTGAAGGTAGAATGGTAGAACCCTTGAGTAAGGATTAGGTTATTGAATTTGTAGACATCGCTTGGGAAGATCTCCTGGAGGAACTTCCTGTTTTGCTTACATTACTGAAGGTTTGTTTAGGGATCTTATTGAAGGGATTGATGGAGTTGAGGAGCAGGTGACAGGTGAGCTGAGCTTGCTTATTAATGCCTAGGAAAACATTTTAGATAAACTTTGGGTATGTTAAGGGAAAGGATAATTGTAGAAATATTATACAGAATTGTATAAGATAAACTTAAAATCTCAGCTTTAATTCATAAGTAAGATGCATAACGCATACACATTTCTTTAATAATATTAGGACAGTAAAAGTAATATATGTAAATATGCAATCAGATTGCAATAAAATATAATAAATAAGATGCATAACGCTTCCCAGTTCTTGCTAGTAAAGATCCCTGCTAAACCTATAACCTCAA